CCCCCGTGCCTCCCCTGCCCCCAGCTGTTAAGATAGGGAGCTCTAAAATATGTAATAGAAACTTTGGTTACCCTGAGTGAGGGCTGGGAAGATTTTCTTAATCATTTTTTCTTTCCTTTGTGCCCAGGCTATCAAAGAAGATATGTAGGGTGCAGACAGAAAGGTCTTAGTTGTCTCTGCTAGTGTGGGGTAATCCTTGTTGTTAGAATGTCTGTACCCTTCTAATGATCATTCATTCAGCCTTTCCCTCACTCCAGCAAAACAGTGGATAGTTCACCCAAACAAGCTGCTTCAGCTACATTTAGGGGTCAGGCTGCTTGTGCTTGTGTAAAGGCAAGGCAATACTGAAGAGTCCAGGAAAACCATCCTTAGGGAAGGGGGTGGGGAGTGTAAGTCACTTTACTGCAACTTTGCTCTTATTTGTCTTCAGTTGTTGGAGAATCTCAAAGCAAATTCTGTATACCTAAAAAATTAATGTTAAACTCTGTGAATAACTTCTTGGGACTTGACTAGAGGATATAGAGTGGGAAGACGGCTCTTCCTTCCAGGGCTTAAGCAACATGCTGCGCCATTTAGAGTAGATAACTGTTTTAGATCCCTTTTCATAGAACTCATGCATTTCTATTTCAAATGCAATTAATCATATTTAAAAACAAAGGTGAAGTCAAGTGTAACTTTATTTACATGAACATGTCTGTGATAGAAAAAATGGAGCAAATCCACTTTATGTCCCCCGACTGGTCCAGATAAACTCTCTAACTTATGACCATTATCTTAGCTGCAGTTTTTTGTATGGAACTTGAGGCTGAAGCAAGCTATGATGGTCCAGTAATTTTGGTGGCACTCACTGACAGGCTTGAAAAAAAACAGTTGTAACAACTTAGTCTCTTCGTACGTAGAAGATGTTATATCCGAGCTCGATCATGCCTCCAATGAGTAAGGCCCATAAGGGAATAAATACGTATGCTAGTTTCATGGTGGTGAATTGTTGCAGTTTAGCACAGAGGGCAAGGCAGAAGGCTAATTTAAGCAGCATTGCAATGACATACCAGGTTTTTTTCTTAATGTTCTGGGAGCCATTGCGCGGGTCGTAGCCAGACTTGCAACGTCCAGCCATTTTTACAATTAACATAACTAGAAGAATAGTATCAAAAATCCAGACTGGAATAAATATAAGAAACCAGTTCCATGGTGCTTTCTCATCCAGTTTTAACACCAACATGATCAAGAAGAGTAACGTGAAAAGCCATGTGAGCAGCACTCTCTGAGCCAGGGACATTCTCATTTACACAGCTTTAAGAGGGAATTTCTGATTGTCAGCAACAACCTAAGAAAGGGGGGAAAAGACAGTCAAGGGATGGTGTAGACAGAATAGTGAATATCTTAAAACTTCAAAGGCAACAGGCTACTTTCTTGGCCTTCCCTTCCAAATATTTTGCAATGTCACCTTAGTTATTACAGTAGACTCTACCTATAGTATTTCTTTGAGACATCTGTTATTTCAGTGATACTGGTCTTATCACTGTTTTGGTCCTGCTGTCCCCCCACCCCTAATCAATTCATAATTCTTAACCCCTAATGTGTGTTGCATGCTAGCTGTCCAAACTACCATGTTCTTCATTCATATCCCACTTCAATGAGAGAACATTTTATTTCAGGACAAAATGCCTTAATCCTAAATTACCCATGTTTGGATTTTCTGTGCAGTTCGTCTTAATTATAATTTTGAAATATATCCATTACTTTGTTTTGGGGTTTGTAAAGGACTGAACTCATTCTTTAGGGTTGTTAGTTGTTCTTAGCACTTATTCCAGGACTATGAGGCAAGAATGTTATATTGATCACTGACGGTGAAACCTATGATGAATGCTTTTCTCCAAAACACTTTCTACAACACCAATCTCTTTTATAATCAGTGGAATAAAGTGAAAAACAATTAACGAACACATTGAAGTGTCTTGAAAGCTAAACAGAAGCAGACTGAAGGATCTAATGGGAAACAACAAAATAGTTAAAGACCATTTTTATGATTACGTGGCTAACTGACATCCATCCCCTGTATACTATTGGAGGCAGCCTAGAGGGCCCCACTTGGTGATCAGGACCCCATTGAGCAGGATCCTATGGGTAATATGTAGTTCTTTCAGGTAGTGCCATGTGTGTCACTAATGTTAAAGTTTATTCGGTCACAATGTCAAAGCAGGGAAGAGAGCAGGTCATTTAAGGAATTCACTACTTTTTCTTGTCATTCTAAATGCATATGTGAGAGGTGGATTAGATCCAGTGTCATATGCCTTTCTCTGCTTACACGGCTTATCTACTTCCCCTGTGTCAGGTAACAGTCTCAAAGTGACAAAAGTGATAGTTGATGCCAGAGACAGAGAGCAGGATTTTCAGAACCCCTTTGTGATTTCAGCCTTAAAAAGCAGGGAACTCTAACCAGGAGACAGGAAATCTCCTATTCTCGCTGCAGTGCAGAGACACCATTTCTCCAGATGCTCCAGTTCTTCGTTTTCTCGGCAAGGGATACAGAACACAGTTTTACAGGAGATTCTCACCACTTCTCTGTGCTGTCAAGCCAATGGACCTGCATTGATCTAAACTTGGTGTTCTGTTTGTGGCTTGCTTATGTTTCCAGGAAGAGTTAGCCTCATGTTGCTACGTACAAAACTACACTATACATTTGGTAGTTCTCTGCTTCCTAGCTGACTGTACAATATTCCCACCACTAATCATATCACTATGAAAGATTTCTACACTCACTCTAAGGCAATGTTAAATAGACCCATATTTCATATAAGTGGAATTATGTACACACTAGAAGTTAAAAGCCTATGAGGAGACAGGTCTGTAGGTGCATGCCAAGGAAGAAAGAAATACCAGATTTGTACTATAACTGGTCTCTGAGAGAATGCAATCTAACCTTCTGCCCAAGCACAAGTACAGAAAACCATTCTACAGAAGACTGGATATTCTCCATCTCTTTTGAACAACTTTGAGAGACTTGTCTATTTACTGTTTTTAAAATCTGTTCCCTTAACTCTTTCCAGTCTTCATACCCTGGGCAGGTTCAAGTCCAACAACTTGAAACTAGCAGGGTTTTGGGATGCCTAATATCATTTTGGCTCAGAAAACCCTCAGACTAGGAAGTAAAAGTGTAGTATCCTCAGGCACATCCATGTATCCTAGTGGAAACATTCTTCAAATGCTTGGTTCACAGTTTGTAGGGGTGCGCTGATATATCAGTTGGCTATAAGACTGGCACCAATAAAAGGAGAAATGATGCTATTGGCTTTTTTTATGGTATCTGATAATTATGGCCATGTACCTGAAGCACCCTGGTGCGTATAGCCCAGTCCCTGCTGCTGGCCCAAGCCCATGGCAGACTATGGGTCCCAGCAAGCAGCAGGAGGAAGAGGGGGCTCTGGGGAGTGACCACAGGGTGCCGCACTCGACAACAAAGGACCATTACCGGTTCCTGCTGCCACTGCTGTGGCAATGCTGCATGTGCAGCAGGGGCCTGAGCAATGGGGCTGCCACGGTAATGGGCTGCACCCAGGCAGGGTAAGATGCTGCATAGACATTCTGTTCTATTGGGCACCGGGTGCCTTTGCAAAAGCAGCTTCTCCCAGTGGCCAAGGAGCTCAGCTGCACAGGGCCCACCAGCATGGAAGGAGCAGTGTGCTCCGGGGCTCCAAACGCACCTGGCCCCACTGTCTGTGCAAGGGTCCACCCCACCCAGGATGGCAGCATGGGCTGAGTGGGGCTGTGGGTAGGAGCTGTAGGCAAGGGGGAGATGTGCATGGGAATAAGGTAGTCACCCCCTTCCTCATTGAGGGCTGGAGCAGGCAAGAGGCACATGTATGTATTAAATGTAAAACAAACCAAAAAAGGTTTATTTACATCAGTAATTTAAAATACCTTGCACTGTTACTAAATGTCAGTTATTGGATCGACACTGGCCGATATGGCTGGTTAATCATCAGCTATCGGTATGGGCCAAGAAAATCTTTATTGCTATAGCCCTAACAGTTTGTAATTCAAATGTTAAAGGATTTTTTAAGGAACTGGATGAATGTCTACAGTTCCTGGCCCCTGGAGACTTACTACACCCAAATATGAGGAAACCAGTTGCAGACTGGCTGAGGGGTTGCACTCAGAGGGTGGTGGTGGATGGGTCATATTCGACCTGGGGGGAGGTGGGTAGCGGAGTCCCCCAGGGTTCGGTCCTGGGGCCTGCGCTGTTCAATTTCTTCATCAGCGATCTGGATGATGGGGTGGAAAGTAACCTGTTTAAATTCGCTGATGACACCAAAATTTGGGGGGAGGTGAGCACGCTAGCAGGGAGTGAGAGATTGCAGAGGGATCTGGATAGGTTACAGGGGTGGGCTAACAGGAACAGGATGCGTTTCAATACGGACAAGTGCAGGGTGCTGCACTTGGGCAGTAGGAACCAGCAGCACACTTACACAATGGGGAACTCCCTACTCGAGAGCACGGAGGCAGAAAGAGATCTTGGAGTCATTATTGACTCCAAGATGAACATGGGCCGACAATGCGAGGTCATGGTTGGCAGGGCTAACCGGACCTTGTCGTGCATCCACAGGTGCATCTCGAGTAGAGCCAAGGAGGTGATCCTCCCCCTCTACGCGACGCTGGTCAGGCCACAGCTGGAGTATTGTGTCCAGTTCTGTGCGCCCCATTTCAAGAGGGATGTGGACAACATGGAGAGGGTCCAGAGGAGGGCCACCCGCATGATCCGGGGACAACAGGGCAGACCCTACAGTGAGAGACTGCGGGACCTGAACCTATTCAGCCTCCACAAGAGAAGGCTGAGGGGGGACCTGGTGACCGTCTATAAACTCACTAGGGGGGACCAGAAGGGTTTGGGGGAGACGCTGTTTCCCCTAGCGCCCGCTGGCATAACAAGGAGTAATGGGCACAAGTTGATGGAGAGGAGGTATAGATTGGATATCCGCAAGAACTACTTCACAGTTAGGGCAGCTAGGAGCTGGAACCAACTTCCAAGGGAAGTGGTGCTGGCCCCTACCCTGGGGGTCTTTAAGAAGAGGCTGGATGCCTACCTGGCTGGACTCATTTGAGTCCTGTTTCTTGTTTTTGGGGTTTTTGTTGTTCTCCCGCCCTGCCGGGGGGGTCGGGCTAGAAGATCTACTAGGTCCCTTCCGACCCTTAATCTATGAATCTATGAGGAAACTGCAAAAATGAAAATAGATTTCTTCTTATAACCTACGCTACCTTAAGAAAAAATGAACAAAACTTGTGTACCTTTATGACTAGGGTAAACACAGGAAAATTCTGTCATGATGTTACACAAGTAGAACAAATCAAATAGCAAATAACTCTTAGTCAAATCCTTGACAAGCATAGTAGTAGTGCATTTAAATATCTGTCATCTATTAATGCACATAGCTAAGAGCAGTATAATGACAAAAACATTTGTCGAGAACCTAATTGTCATTCTGGCAACTAAAGGAAATACACCACTTGGAACACGTGATGAAACACTTCCTTGGCCAGTGTATTTTAAAATGTAAATAATAACAGAAAATGGGATGGGAAGGTTAATCACTCTTAATGATTCATGCTGAAAACAATTGAGAAATACCCTTCAGAATGAAATATATGCTAATGAACCAATAAGGCAGAGGTTTGCTGCATATCCGTCAACATGACTTGACATTTAAGCAAAATATGACTGATTTTTAGGAAAATGTATGTTAGCAATTACTCATTAATTATCCAGGTTTGACTTCCTGTGACAATATGCTTCATGTATCACCTCAAGTGACATATCCCTATGGCCATCACTGTCTGAAGAAGCTGGAATGTATCACACCCCAAACAAGCATTATTCCTGAGTGATATGCTGTCAGGTGATACCTCCACCCTACGTTTATACTGCAAAACTTCTTAGAACAGAGGGTTAGAGCCCACATCTTTTTCTTTGCAGAGAGTGTTATCCTGTGGCACCTCCCACCCCCAAAACATAAGCACCCAACCTGGAGTAAGTGAACTCCAAATCCAAATTTTGAGGGTGAAGCTGAGGATCTTATGTCTGGAGGCAGATGGACATGGCAAGTGGTACATTTGCTTTGTGTTTCTTTGTAAGGGCCATATGAGTTTTGAATGCAAACAGTGTTTGAAGTCTGTATGTACTCACTCCTTGTTAGTGAGGAGGAACAGCTAGGTGGGAATCTTGGGATATAAATGTGTTGCCCAAAATGTAGGATTTATGGAGAATGGTTAGAAAGGAAGTGTTGATTTTTTTGTTTTAAAGTGCGAGTATCCATAGATATAGAAGGGTTGGGGAATTATTTAGGTTGGAGGGGCAGTGATGACACTGCCTGGTAGGGCAGGTGGGGAGCAGTGTCCAGGAGCAGGATGGGTGGCCAGGGCGGGGATTGTGGGGTGATGACAACACAGGGGCAGGGCCCGGGGCAGAGCTGCAATCCATTCCCCTCATGTCCCTATGATGGGCCCTGGCCCTGCACTGTCACCACCTCATGATCCTGTCCTGGCCACCTCTCCCACTCCCAGCTGCTGTGCCCTACCTGCCCATGACCCAACCCTATCCCACCTGCCGGGCTGAGCACGTCCTGCCTGCCGGGGTCCTAGGCCAGTCCACCTGCCTCCTTCCTCCAGCACTACTAGTGGTGGGTGAGGCAGACTGGCAGCAACTGCCAGGCACTGAGCTGACAAAAAGCCCGGTCCAGCAGCTGTGGGCCCTACCCCCCTGGGTTTGGGTGGGCCTGAGGGACCTGCCGGGGGCTGGATAAAATCCTTTGGCATAAGCTGCATTTTGCCCACCCCTGAGAGAGAGCCTATGATGGAACAACTGCTGTGACCTTCCTTGGCTTGTCCTTCGTGAGAGGTTCTTCCACCAGTCCAAGAACACAATCATCAATGACAGCTCCGTTTTAAGAGTAGATACGGAATTCAGGAAGAACGCAAGGACAACAGGAGGTCATGCTGTCTCCCCTGAATAAAAATGAGAGACACAACTACAAGTTTGGACAGGATTATGAAGTCATCTGGCAAGCCTCCACCACTGACAATACACATTGGAACCACCGGTTCCAGTGGTGACTCAACATCACGCGAAACAAGATAGCTTAAAAGATTTATGATTTTAGAAGACAGAATATCCAATGATACGTCTGTAAATCCTTCTGGTCCCGTGACTGAGAGAAGGCAGAACATATTGGAAGTGAATACTGGGCTGTACAATCTCGAGCTGCGTCCAACTGAAAGCTTTGGTGGTATGAAACACTGGCCAAATACCCGTGAGGAGGGGGCCATGGGACTAGGGCAGCTTTCATCTCTCAGGTGGGGGGGAAGGGAGTAGGAGAGACCAATCCCCCTTGTTAAACAAGAAAACATGGGGACATTTCAAGCTTTGTGTGTTTTAAGCTGAATCAAGGTGATGAAGAATATGAGAGAAAATAAATTAATAGTTTATATACTAATCATGAAGAATTAAGAAGTCCTCATTTATAAGCAAAAAATATGTAAAAGTCTGAAAAAAGTGGTATCAGCATAATTATTTTGGTATCAAATGACTTATTTTTTTGCAAAAATCTTGGTCTAATGAAAGATATCATCTCTACTGCGAGTCCCAAGTGCCTGATACCTGGTGGGGCATAGGACATTATACTTGGCGATTATCTAAAGGATTCGGTAGAGGAGAAGCCAGGCCTGGCAACCAACATGGAAACAAACCGATCACCAGTTTAAGATGCCTGGGGCCCCTCTACACTTGCAGGTCAAGGAGCAATGTGCTCTAACGTGTGATCCACACAATGGCGCATTACATCCCACCGTACTGTACGGCTGGTGCTGGGGGTGCAGCAGCGAGCTCCTGCGGCTGGAAGCGCCCTCAGCCCGGGGTCCAGCTATAGGGGTGCTCGGCGCCGAGCGATGCAGCTGCTGCGACCTCCCAGCGGCGGGGGTTTCACGCATCCCTGGGCTCTCGGGCCCGGGGTGTTGTCAGGCCCGAGCTGGCAGCGAGTGGGGCGGAGAGTGAGAAGCGGCCCCGGCTCCGCGACCCCCACGCTCGCGGCAGTGGGCGGGGCGGGCGCTGCACTCACCTACCAGGCAGGCCCAGGCCCCCCGCGCTGCGCAGCGGCAGGAGCTGCTCCGGGACAGCCCCGCCGCGGGTCGGGTCGGGTCGGCTCCTCGCGTGGCGTCGCGTCACATCGTCCCGCGCGCCGCAGAGGGAGCAAGGCCGGCTAGGAACAGTTCCAGCTTCCGCCAGCCTCGTCGCGGCCCGTCCTCTGCTTTCGCGCCGCGGCCCGCCCTAGTACGGCTTCCATTGGCTAAACGGGGCCCCCGCGCACCTGCCATTGGCTAAGCGAGACGCCCACCAGGCCCCCCGCGCGGCTCCCATTGGGCAGCTACTCGCGTTTTGCTCTAGCCGACCTGAAGGGGAAAAGAGCCGCGCTCATTGCGCCAGAGGCCCGCTTATCAAGTAGAAACCCCGCCTTCTCTCCTCTCTCATTGGCCAAGACCATCACTCATCAAATGTAACCGCAGATGGAGGAAGAAAAGGCCCCCCACCTCCCCTCAGCTGGGGGCGGAGCTTTGCTGCGCTGCTGCGGCTGCCCCGCCCCCTCCTCCCCTCCCGGCGCGGGCGCGCGCTGTTGCTGTTGCTGCCGCCGCTTCCCTCGCGCGCCCGCGCGTCCCCAGCTGTTGCCTGGCGGAGC